ACGAAGTATTATTATCTTTTTTTTTTTAGTGTACAATAAACATCCTATATAAGATAACATTAACCAACATTACCAGAAGGTGAGGATGTGAGGTAGATTATTGTAAAAGTAACATAGTTACCTTTATACATTAAAAGTGTTTTTTAAGTAGTAAATTTTTTGTTAGGAAATAACTATACTAGTAAAAAGGAGAAGCAACTAACCATCAATATTTTAAGCGAAGACTCCTCCTTATTCAAAGTATAGAGATGCAGGTGTTTGATTCCATTGGCAAAAATCTTCTTGCACATTTCGGTTCCTAGACGAATACCATAGGCTTTCACTGCTTCGTCGTCGTCCTTAATCGACTCCAATGCATCAGTGATCTCTTGAGGGATCTACAATTACATTATTTCAGCCAAAAAGCACATGAAATGTTGAGAATATACTACGAACAATACGGGTGTAACAGATAAATTAGATGTACCTTTGTTTTACATAAACTGGTCATTTTTACAAATCCCTTGTAGTCTACAATGGGATAAATGCCAGGAACAATTGGACATGTGATCCCAATTTCGCGGCAATCTTTAACAAACTTGAGAAAAATGTTCGTATCGAAGAACAGTTGTGTGATGATAAGATCGGCACCAGCATCAACCTAAGCCATTTTGTGCATGCACGAAAAATAGTAGTAATAAGTCATCATAAACTTAATGAATTGCAGTTGTCACAAATAATTTGACAACGTTAATTAAAGGGGTGAAAGTTTCTGGATTAAATTCAAAATGCAATCAAATCTAAACTAAATTACTAAATTGGTTTTATTTTATTTTATATTGGATTGGATCACACATATGCAAATTTGAATTTCTGGTCAAGTTGAGAATGTTTGAAAAATGAACAAAATGAAATTATATGGACATTTAATCTTGCTAGAAAGTTGTAAAGTGCCAATGTTACTTTAAAAGATGGTTATGCAGATTTTTAAGACTATCAATCTAAGTATTGTTGGTCAATGTTTGGGCCTATAAAGTTCAATGTTTTATAAAACAGGGTCCATGGCCCACTTTAAATAAATAAAAAAGTTGACATTATTAATTTGGATTTCAAATACTTCTTCCGTTCTATTAATATTGCAATAATGAACTTTTTGCACTATTCATCACTCTTGTTTGACCATATAATATGATTTATACGTTAAGCAAAATATAGTCATGTGGGATCTTATTGGATTCGTCTCATAAAATACTTTCACAATATCAACTTTTTATAATTTTTACTCTTACACAATTATAGATATTTAGCATATAAAATGTGCTTTGGGATGCGTAATTTCATCCTTGTTGCAATATTAATAAAACGGAGGAAGTATGATCCAAACAACCAAATTCTAAATCAAGTTTGACATTAAGAAAATTTTAAATTAAATCAAATCAACCAATCTGGTCTTACTTCTAATTAGATTGGAACATAATTAAATCCAAACCAAAAATCGAACTTTCATCTTTAATTTTATGAAAAAGATATTACTCCGAACACTATACGAGAGTTTTAAACACTTGTAGCACATTGGACAAAGTCACAAAGGTAGTAGATAGTTTACCTTTCTTTTCAAGTAAGCCAAATCACTAGCATATGCTTCAGGACTTGCTACACCATCAGGTCCAAAAACACTAGGATGTGCTTCTGTATTATTCCAAAACATAATAAAATGTCAAATAAATTGTGTAATACGAAGGAATTATTAAACACAAACTGTATAAATTTATATAAAATCTAGATTTCGAGTACAAAAATGTGCAAAATTATACAGTACTCGATTAGTACTATGCTCTCACCTGGATAACCAGAAACAGCAATTCCAAAGTAATCACCATACTTGCACCTCATATGACTAACCTGAGATCATCTAACCATCAATCAAACCGAATCTAACATCGAAAAAACAAAAACAAAACATCGATAACAGATTACAGAGAAGAGATTACGAGGTCAAGGGCACAAGCAAAACCGCCTTCAACAGGAACAAACTTATCCTGGCCAGGAGGCGGATCACCGCGAAGAGCAAGTACATTTTGCAAACCATTAGCTTTAATAGTATCAAGAGCCTCATCAATCTTTTCGACAGGCATGTTAGCACAAGTAATGTGCATCATAGTGTCAACACATACACTATTTTGCATACGATTAGCAATGTCTATTGTTACATTGCTCGTCGCAGTAGTCCAAGTAATGTCACAAAAAAAGGGGTTATGAACCACCATTCTCTCCATTGTCTCGAAGAGAATTTTGATACCATTGCCGGTTTTTGGAGCAAAGTATTCCAAGGAGAACAGGGCTTTGTTCTCTGCTTCGGCGGCTTTGATCTTGTCTATCACCTTCATTTTTTTGTTTCCTTACACTAGAATAAGGGAGGAGATTGTGCACGTCAACCAGGAGGGGGCAAAGGCATATGCCACTCAATGCACAAGACTTATAAGTTAGAGTTAATAATGATAACGTAATTTGTTAATGTATACTTCCTATTTTCTAATAAATAATCGAAAGTCAAGTATTTATCTTATATATAAAGTGAAAGGAGGGTTTTGGGTGATAAACTTCACTTTCCCAAAATAACCCTCTCTTGTTTTTTTTTTAAATAAGAAAAACTACCATTAAATAATTTTTTATTATATTTTATCAATAATTTTTAAACCCGTTAATATTTTTTAATTAGAATTAAGGAGATAATATTATGAAAAAAACAGAGAATTGAGCTTGATAAATTACTTATATTGCACACGCAGGCTTTGCGTGCGTCTCTTAATTTGTTGTTGAATAATTGAAAAGAACCTTAGCAAAAACACAAGGCAGTTTACAAATAAACAGCAAGTATGAGTAGATTGAGTCATAAAACGAACAAAAGACAACTCGTTTGCCATCTTTCGTGCTCTTGCAAACTTACTTCTATCTCTATTTGATATGTTTATTAAGTAATTTAATCAACTAGTTCCATTACCATGTCTTAAATTACGGAAACAAGCAATAATAAGCTAAATATTGCAAGCAACAAACTAAAACAAAACACTTTGAATTTGATAATTGACGACACTATTTTAGCCCGGCCCAATACAAAAAAGTAAAGGCCCAATATTAGTCATTGACGAAACTTTGTTGTCAACCAAGCTACCATATTGGATGGTAAGACTTTATAAGACCACTCTCAACGGTGAGCAAAAAAAAATGCCCACCCACTATCTCTCTACCCACTTTCTCTCTCAACAAATCTGATTTGCACATGGGCAAGTTTTTTTCACAATTTCTCTCCCAATGGTGAGCAAAAAAAATGCTTGCCCACTACTCTCTCTCTCTTACTTTTTCAATACCCCACCATTACTTTCTCTCTCCTACACAACACTTCTTTATTTATTAATATCATTTATATTTTAACAATATTACTCCAAATAAATAAAAACTAGTCTAAATTTGTGTAACTTATTATTTTTTTATTTGTGTCGTTTTTATCGTTAAAATAAAGAATATGGAGGATTTATGGTATTTCTGAAATTATACCAAAATATACCAAAATGCATGTCTATTTATAGAGAATTAAATTTTATGACCGTTGGTAATTTTAATTTTTTTTTTAATAAATATTTATTTCAGAATTTGCATTACAAAAAATATAACCATTGCAAATTGTAGGACCCACCAGAGCACTAGTTCATCTTCAAAAATGCTCAAGTCTTGGTCATTTTCAGAAATGCTCATGAGCATTTTTTTGGCTTTTTCTCATTTGCTCACCATTGTAATGCATGAGCAAATTTTATGCCCACCCAAAATGCCCATGAGCAAATTTTTAGCTCACCATTGGTAGTGCTCTTACTTCGCCACCTTGTTATACACTGGGTGTCGCATGTCAAAATTTTCACCATTTGATGTTACATGAAATTCAAATGTATAGTAGTCTTATATGAAATTTTACAAATTCTAGTGGTATCGGAGGACCGACAACATGTCGGACACAACACCCAGATCCGAGTCAGAGTAGCATAAGTAAGACTCTTATAGAGGGGGTGTTTTGTTTACACTAGGTAAAGAAAATTGAAAAAGAAAGGGTTAGAGAGGGAATGAAAAAGAAAAATATATGCGGTGTAATTTTCAATATACTCGTAATTCATTTGTTTCATATAAATCGACATGTTTTGACATAAGCTACTTTGACTTTATTTGTGATTTATATCTACAGAAAAGATAGCATATGTATGAGTCTTGATGTAAAAATTCAAATATAATTATTATTTTTTCTTATTGATAATTGGAGATGATAATGTTTGAAATATGTATTAGCAAATGTGCTAAAACAAATGTGTCAGATCAACAATATATTATGAAACGATGGAAGTAAAATGTTTGGCCATTTAACCTCTTCTTGTCTCTCGCACATTTGCTTCACCACAGTTTTCCTTACTGTCATGGTGGCAACATTGAGAAGGGTTTTTGGAGAATTTTAAAGAGCAATTTGGAGTGATGATTTGATATCAATTCTTAAAATTAATCCTAACAATGTCAATTCGAGCCAGTTATGGGTTGGGTCCAACAATTTCGAGTTCAAACATATAAATTGTCTAATTGGGTTAGGTTGGAATTTATTATGTATCTAAAATAGAGCTAAAACCATATTTAATACCATTGAAAGACAATTCATATTTCTTAGCTACATGTTTGATATTCAATATGACAACATATACGGTAGTTTCTTTTCAAATACACAGTTGCTATGAAACATCGTATAACATGAGTATATTTGCTGGATAATTGTACTCGTAACATACTAACAAGGGTGTACTTCGTATAATTGCATTTTCCATACTAAGATGAAAGACGAAAATCCTCTTAAATGAGGATTCGACCACTAACATTACGCCTAAAAGTCGGAGAACTAGCCAACCAATTCAACCTCGCATCACACCCCGTATAATTGTATTGGGTATGGGAGACTTGTATCCGGGAACACAACACCTACAAGTACAAGTATTTGATGAATGTCATCACCGCAATAATTTTAACGGAGCGCACATTGCGTTGCGTATAATAATACCGGTTCTCCCTTCCAAGGGGAAATCAACGCCCAACTCCTGCACGCCATTCTCTCTCCTCCTTCCCCCCCAATTTCTTCTCGTCGCCGGCGAAATCAAGGTTACCTGCTTTCTCTCTCCTCTCTCTCTTTTGTTTTCTTCATGAAAATTTCTTCAATTGTTTTTACTCTGATTATGATTTGCGATTTCAATTCCTAAGAATTTGCTGTTGTTCTTTGCAATTTTCAATTTTCAGGTGATTTTCCGCTGGTTAGAATTGAATAATTAGGTTTTGAATTTTTTGTGCTTAATTGAAGCAGAGTTAGGTGATTGATTGATTTGAGTAGTATGATCATCAGCTATGATTCAAGTAGAATTGTAGGTGATGAAGAATTTGTTTGAGAGAACTGGTACTGCAAATTCAACATCTGGTACTAGTTCTTCTTCAAATTCCCCTAAATTTAATTGCATTTCTTCTAATTCTTCCGATCACAAGTCTTCATCATCGTCGTCAACTAAGGCTTCTTCGTTGTTGTCTGGAATTGTTGTTTCCGCTTTCTCGATTTTTGAGCCTCGTGTGGAGGAGGGTGTGAATCCGAGTTCGAATTTGAGTTCAAGTTCGAGTTCGAGTTCGAGTTCTTCTCGTGAGAAGAAGGGGGTTGGAACTAAGTCTAAGATTAGTACTAGTTGTAGTGGTAGTAATGGGTGGGCGGCTGCTGTAAAGAGGGTTATGGCGAGTGGATCGATGAGGAGGATTAGGGAGTCCATGTTCGGGTTTAACAAGTCTAGTGCTGTCACTTCTACAAGTGATATTTGGTTGTTGGGTGTTTGCTATAAACTTAATGATGCCATTGGTGGTGATCCTGTTAGTAGCAGTGGCTTTGCTGCGTTTGTCGAGGATTTCTCATCGAGGATTTTGATGACGTATAGGAAAGGTTTGATTAGTTTTTGAAAATTTTGACCTTGATTATGGTAATTAATAGTATTGTGATTGATTATTGTTATTCTTGTATTGTAGGGTTTGATGCCATTGAGGATTCAAAGTATACTAGTGATGTTAATTGGGGTTGCATGCTTCGAAGCAGTCAAATGCTTGTTGCCCAAGTGAGTACATCTCTAGCTAAATTAGTTAGCTTTCTCGGTTTGCATTATTCGCATTATTTTGAAATATGGACTACGTTTCAATATTTGCAGGCGTTGTTGGTTCATCAGTTTGGGAGGTCTTGGAGGAAATCTGTGAATAAGGTGAGATCAAGTGGCTTAATGCTTAAGTTGTTTTTGTGCATTATCATTGGTGACAAGGTATTTTGTTTTCAAACTTTAGAGTGAATATGTCTTTGGTTACTCACTTGTAATAGAATCTATATCAATATATCGCTTAATAGTCAATACTCATCTAAAATACGAAAAAGTTGGAAATGGGTAATAAAAGTCTATATTATTTTATATTTTGAATGTTAGATGCAGTAATAATGATATTCATATGATGCAGCAAATTGATCAAGGGTACATTGAAATCCTACATGATTTTGGTGATTCTGAAGAATCAGCATTCTCGATCCACAAGATTCTAGAAGCTGGGAAGGGTTATGGCCTTGCTGCCGGCTCATGGATAGGTCCCTATGCCACATGTCGTGCATGGGAAACTCTGGCCCGCACTGGTAAAGCATTGCCAATGGCAGTCTATATTGTTTCTGGTGATGAAGATGGTGAACGAGGTGGGGCTCCTGTTGTCTGTGTAGAAGATGTATCTGGTTGCTGCCGTGAGCATTCAGGTGGTGGAGCTGATTGGACGGCTATCCTGCTGCTGGTTCCTCTAGTACTTGGACTTGATAAACTTAATCCCAGGTTAGTTTTGTTTTACAAGTTATCTTAAATATGCAAAATTTAAAACCTTTAAAATAGGGTACCTCATTATTAGAATGTGAATCCAAAAACCCCAAATCTTGGTTTCAAATTCTTAATTTTTTGGGATGTCCTCATGAGATGAGGATTTTTATTTTGTTAAGTTTCTTTCCAGACATAGCTAATTTAATCACCTTTTAGTTGCATAATAAGTTAGAACCTTTGGAGACACAAGCTAGAAGGTCAAAGTGTTTGGAAATTTAGTCAGATGAAGGCATTGATACGTAATGTGGCCTAATTTTTGCATTAGAGCTATGAACAAGTAGCTTGTGTATATTTGGAGCCTATAGGACAATCCTATATTTCTATTTTTCTTCTTGCCCTTTATAAGAAATACAGATCTTGTTTTCTTGGAAGTAGTTGGGTTGCTTTGGTATTGAATCAGAAACAAATAACGCATATCCTCCTAAATTGAATTTTAGAAGTAGCCAAATAATTGAACAATCAAAGTTTTGTTGTTAATGTTCATATAGTATAAAAAAAAGAATACATAATACCTGATCCAATTTGGAAATGGTATTTTTTTTTTTTTTTTTTTTTTTTTTTTTTTTTTTTTACTGAAAAGAGAAAATACTTTTGTTACATAACGCTGCAATTGGAAAAGCAGGAACTCCTACAGTCTGGAAGAAGTTATAAGAATGTCACTATGGGGAATACATTGCAAATTCGAAAATGCAAACTTATTTGTGTTTGAAGTATTTTCTCAAGTCAGAGGAGACATTCAAAGAAATGGCTATAACCATGACCAATAGACTGCATGGGTGGTTAATATAACAGTTTTTTTAAAGGAATAGGATTGTGTCTTGATTCGTGTTCGCAGAGTTGTGTAGATTTAAGGAATACACTAATATAGGACAAGGTTCTAAAAGATTCAATGGAAGAAAAAAAAAATAGGTGCATGCCTATTAAGCTAGACAATAGATAAAAATTAGGAAATTTAGTAGAATGGTACCAAAAGGGTTCAAGGTATACCATACTGTCCCACAAAGCTTCTCAATTAGTGCTAAAACGTCAAAGCTTCTACTTTTCTTTTGAATTTCAAAGAACACTTAATCCTAGTATATATATATATATATATATATATATATATATATATATATATATATATATATATATGTATATATACATATATGTATATATATATATATTATTTTATTTTATTTTTATCCTTTCTTAATCTTATGGTTTATGATTTTGATCTATGATCTAAATTTCTTGTCCAAATTTCACAAGAATGTGGGTCAGTTATTGGCTGCACAATCCTTTGGTTCATTGTCAGACATGATTACAATCTACTGATAATTTACTTCTTGTTGCCATGATAATCTATGCAACTATTTATGTTGTTATACTTTATTTTGTATTTTACTCCCTACACTTCATAATAATTGACATAATGGATGGGAACATAAAAAATAATTATCTAGTGATTTTATTTTGTATCATTAAAAAATGAGACATGTGAGGGTGGGAAAAGTTATTGGGTTATGTGGGATGAGGTAAATACATTTTATGATAGTGGATATGTCCATGTTTGGTAGTGTGTTAATTATTATAAAACTTTTTGAAGGAGAAAAGTGTGTTAGTTGTTCCAAAACTGGGGGAGTAGTTTTCTTGATCAATTCTGACTTCATTAGGGTTTTTTTTTTTTATTATTATTTTGTTATTTTTTTTTGTGTGTGTTTAAAAATTGTATTAGTGATTTTGCATTGATTATTCTATTTGTTTCAGCAGGTATGTTCCTTTATTGGGTGCTACATTTACATTTCCTCAGAGTCTTGGCATTTTGGGTGGGAAACCTGGTGTTTCAACTTACATTGTTGGTGTGCAAGATGAAAATGCATTCTATCTTGATCCCCATGATGTTCAACAGGTACTTCAGCACTTTTATGTCATTTTGTTGCATCTATTTGATTGATTATGTCTCGAGGATTTTTTAGATTAAAAGCAGGTGATTTGGCATGATGTTATTAGGATCACAAATTACAATTCAAATTCAGTGTCTTATAATTCTACGACCCTATAATACACAACCGGATTCGAATTTAATTATTGTTAAAATTATACTTTCTTTGTTCCAAATTAATCGCATCATTTAACCTTTCCAAGATTTTAGACAAATTAGGTAATTTCGTATTTTAATGTGTAACAAGTAATGGTTGATTATTTTATACTCCATCCGTTTTGCTGTAGTTATGGAAACCAAGAAAAATTAGAATTGGGGACCATGCATGTGGGTACTTTTGTATCAAAAAAAGAGAGAAGAATAGAGATTAAGAGATTTATTAAATTGTATTGGGTCCTACAAAGTGAGATTGTGAAGATAAAAAGTGAATAAAAAGTTATCATAAAAAGAAAAAGGAAAAAGTGAGTAAAACTTAGGAAAAAGGTTTGTAAACGGAAAGTGAGTAGAACTTAGGAAAACTAAAGGAGTATTATAGTTAGGGATTGTTGATTATTTGCTTTATAATAAACTGTTGCAACTTGCAAGAGGGAGTAGAATTGTATGATTATATAATAATATAAACATTTGAAGTGTTAATATCTTAATACAATTGTATGGTCCAGTGATTTAGTTTTACAATGACAATTTTAAGTTAAAAAATTATTTTTATAGTACAAGTTTAAAATTTTTATTTTTCAAATGTACAAAATCCAAGCTCTTATAATTTAACCCCTTTTCCCCCTTCATTTTACTTGCTCTATTTAACAAAAAATTACCAAAAGTCTGAGAGCTTTTTGGTCATATGGGCCAGTAAGGTTTTTGGTCAATGAGACTAGTAAGTTGAGATGGAGACAGAATGTACTTTATCATATCTTGATATTTAGTTTTATAAATGATTTTTATTGCTTTAAATGCGAATTATTATTAATATTTTTCAACATTTTAATCATGTTTTTAGCAAATATATAAAACTAACAATTCTACAACTCTGAGTCAATTTTAAAAACAATTTTCCAAATCGTGCGTTTTACTTCGTTTGGAGAGTTAGTAGGCAAGAAGAGTGTTTCAAAGATGCTTTCATTGCAATGTTCAAATGAATGATAGTGCCTATGTGTAGGCCTTCTTTCTTTTAATCTAGAATGCTCTTAATTATAATCTCCACTTACTCTCTAGAGTGTTCCCTCCTCCAAAGGAACTTACATACAAGAAAGTTTCTACATACTTCCTTACAAATATGTACTAGTGTTAGACAACTCCTAGCTAAAACCTTCTACACAAGAATGCACTGGTAGAGCAGTCTAGAATGTTTCAAAAAGCACCACAAACTAGGTTGTGCTCAAAGTGTACTTACGAGATCTTATCTTGGAAATCCGCCCTTACCATCATCTTCATTCGTCCAAAATATGGGGGACCCCAAATCTTAACCCATTCAAAGCTTGTTTGGCCCACCAAACGTCCCGTTATTTTGTTATTGTCAAGTGGTTGTTCACTGGGAATGCAAAGCATATAAAAAATAAATCTTTTTAGTTAATAATTCCTGAAAATCTGATTGTCTCTTTACTCCATGTCAATCTTTTTTTACTTTCCTTTGGTCTATTTGTAATCATATTTTTATACTTTCTGCTTTCTTGTTTATGAATTACGAGTGCAACCATGATAAATGAAATCCTCTTTCTACACTTTCACACTTTAGAAGTGAGTGAAATGTTGTGATTCTAGATTTTGCTTTGCCTATCTTTTTTGTTTTCCTTTATTCTTTTGATATTAGACCAGAATATGCTGGTAGCTTACTTAGTTACTTTTACTTCTGTTATTCTTACAGAAATTGAGTTTGATGACAAGTTTTAGCTCTCACTGTGCTTGTATTGCCTTGCAGGTGACTAATATTACAAAAACTGACCTAGAGGCTGATACTTCATCATTCCACAGCAAGTAAGAGTTTTACTGAGAGGTTGATGTCCTTGTCATCTTGGATTTCCTTTGCTTAGTTACTCATTTACTTAATTTGCATCAGTGTGATCCGACATATTCCGTTGGAGTCTATTGATCCCTCATTGGCGATTGGATTTTACTGCAGAGATAAAGGTACTCAGTATGTCTTTGATTTCATAATCTGTTCCATGGTTGCGTTCGGTTTTGTGGTTCTGTTGCAAATATAACAAAACAAGGCAAGATCCTTTCTATATGAGACTGGCAGTCTGGCGCTACTTGTTCTGGGTGATTTTGGGTACCCAGAGTAGTCCCAGAATCAATAGTTTCGCTGTCCAAGCCAAAATCAGCTCCATAGTGTTTCCAGGGCAGTTGCTAGACTGGTCACCTATAGTATAAATCAACTAGGACAATTTGTGAAGTTGAATATGCCTCTGTGTGTGTACTGGGTTCCAGGGCCATTGTGTACTGAGTTCATTCAAGATTTTAAAATGAGCTCTAACACATTTTCTCATGAAAGAACGATTACAATGGTAGATATTAAAAAAGTGGCTTATGAAGTTCAAGTTGGAAAAGTAACTATGTTTACATGAAGGACTGTAGTTGGTGGGGATGGCATAAGTAGTACTTTGTATTTTGTATTTGCATATAGAAGATTATATGTTTAGAATTTACTTGGAGTATTAGGTAAATTAGCACTGACTGACATTAAGATACTAACCTCACCTTTTTAGAGTTTCTAGCTATAATTGCCAGTTAGTGCATCAAGATGCTAGTTCTTGGTATCAGCAAGCAGGGAATTAAACTCCAAAAGGGTTTGACTTAATTGCTCTCCAGGGCTTGAAAAGCAGTACTTCCTCTGCAATATTGCAACAATTGCTATTTTAGGAAGGCTCACAAATATTGCAACATTATGCAAATGCTTTTTCTCTATCTCTCTCCTCGTCACATGGATCCTTATCTTTATTTCTTTGTATCTTTCTCCTCATCTTAAATCCCGTGTCTTACTCCCTTTTTGCAATATTGGGGGAACAGAGGAAGTAATTGAATCTGTTAGATCTTTGATTCTTGAGAAGATTTGTCCATTTGAGCTACAAGAGAGTCGTATCTTCCACCTGCTGCCTCTCCAGAAGCATATTTTCTGACTCCTCATCTTATTCCTGCTGCTCCCTCGCTTTATTTTTCCTCTTTCTCTAGAAGCTATCAATATCTGCTATCCTCAGGAGGGAAGCTCATTTACATTGGTTGGGAACACCAGTACCTCCTTGGCGCTAGTGGAATGAGAGTTACATTCTTACAATTTACAAAGGAAGCTATTTTTTAGGACATTGATGTCATTACTAGCCTTACCATTCCTTGCAAGAAATTCCTAGCGATCTTCATGGGGTCCATTTTGGTACCTTTAGAAGTAAAGTCATTATAAGTTGTAAGTCATTTAAATGAACCAGAGACTTCTATTGGAGTAGATAGTCTTCTCAGATTCTTCTATTGGAGTAGATAGTCATTTAAATAAATTTCCTAGGGTTAAATGTGTATCTGTAATGTTAAAACATACTTCGTATATGTCTTCAATATCCTCGCACTAGCTTGTTGAGAAATAAGTAGATTGAACCCTATCTACTTTTACAACGTATTATATACCAAATACCGCAAGTTGTTATCTACAATCTACCTTTTAAACAAACTCCTTGAATGTGTAGAATCTGAGATTAAATAATTTATAAAGGTTAATTAGGTAACCTGTTGCGGGGGGATCGGGAGGTGGGTTAGTTGCGGGGATACTGTTGCTGCTTTCTCGATACATAGGAGTCAAATCAGCATGTTATATGAAATATTGGCGTTGTGTGCTGCAGAAGGGAGTTTCAGTTTTGCCTGTTATCTTAAGCTATTGCTTTTTAATTGTAAGTAGTATAACTTTAAATGTCAAGAGGAAAGGATGGTTGCTGGTTTAAAAATTTTCAGATGTGTGGATTTCCTTGTGGCTATTGTCTAAGGCAGGACCGCAAGAGTCTGTCAACTTACCTGCAAATATGGGGTATAATTTGTGTTGTTGATCTGGCTCCTCTATCAGATTACTATCTAATTTGAAAAATGGAGGAAATTAAAGAGGAATTAGATTGCTTTCCTACTGTTAGTTGAAGAATACATGGTAGTGACTGGTGACAAGATCTGTGTGGCTTCATTTTGTTAGATTATGGGTGAGAGAAATTCATTATGTACGCTAGAGGTGTCCACCGTGCGAGTCGTGCGAGCTGGGTTAGGGTTAGGTGGGTCGCGGGTTGGGGTTTCATGACACACGGCACGACACACGTAGGGTAGGGTGGGCCGGGTCGTGGGTTGGGTCGGAGAAGTTGGACACACCAGGGTTAGGTTCGTGGGTTAGACGAGTCGTGGGTGGGTCGAGCTGGGTTTGTGGGTTAGACGGATCGTGGGTGGGTCGAGCTGGGTTTGTGGGTTAGACGGGTCATGGGTGGGTCGAGCTAGGTTCGTGGGTTAGACGGGTCAAGGTGGGTTAGTGAGTTAGGGTGGGTCGAAGGGTGGGTTAGTGGGTTAGGGTCGGGTGGGTTTGTGGGTTAGGTGGGTTAGGGTCGGGTGGGTTAGGGTCGGGTGGGTTTGTGGGTTAGGTGGGTTAGGGTCGGGTGGGTTTGTGGGTTAGGGTCGGGTGGGTTCGTGGGTTAGGGTCGGGTGGGTTGTGTGGTGTTTTAATTTTTACAAAATTAACAATTTGATGGCTTGCTCTTAATTAAGATGTCTACGTATCCTTATATTATAAAATAAGGAATCAAAGCCAGCGTAGTTCTTATATTGTACTTCTTTTGAAATTTGGGGGGGGGCTTGGACCTATCTTTAGAAAACTAAAATTTAATTTTGCAATTAAATTGTAATTTTCGAAAAATAAGTTGCCTACGTATCCCGAAAGAATCAAAGCCCACGTAGTTCTTAGCGTACCTGATTTAGACTTTTCTAGCCACCCATGTTTGTTGCATCATCATCCCCGGAAGCTGCATCATCCGTTGACGACTCCAATATCATCACAGGATCATCTTCATCGTCTTCGTCTTCCTTTAAACCTTGAGTTCTTCTTTCAGCTTGATCCCAATCTTTCTTACAAACACAAATTTGAATGCTTTCCGGAGTTAAGCGAGATCTTTTTTCATCTAACACTCTTCTACCTGCACTAAAAGCAGACTCGGAAGCAACAGATGAAGCGGGAACTGCAAGTATATCTTTTGCAATTCTCGCCAATATAGGAAAACTTTTTTTATGTTCTTGCCACCATTTTATAATTTGAAAGTTGTTGGTCTCATGTTGATATGACAAATAATCATTAATAGCAAGTGTTGAAGAAGATGATGATGAGAATGATGTAGATGCTTTGTGTTTTTTTTTCATAACTTTATCAAGAAAACCAAATCTAGAATCGGAAGTGCTAGTAGTAGTTGGTGTTGCCAAATCAAAACCATAAATAGATGCATAATGATCATAAAGGTCTCCCAAAACAGATTTGCATTTGTTAATATATTCACTAACATCATAATCGATACTTAAACTTGTATAATAAAATTCTAAAAGATTTTCCAAACCTTCAGCTTTGACACCGGGGTCAAGAATAGCAGCAATTCCATAAATGATTGGAAATTCACTAAAATAAGTATGCCACTTACGTTTCATACTTATTATACTTATTTAAACGCATTTTTCATGGTAATTAACTAATTGTAAATCATAGAAAATTGGAAACTAAACTAACTTTATAATCATTAATAATAGTTTTTTTAAATATTCATAACAATAAAAATTTAATTAGAAATTACCTTGAGATGAAGGTTGAGATGTTGGTTGCGATGGAGGTGGCATAGTTGAACTTGATGATTGGTGGGACTCGTGGGAGAAATGTTGTGGTGGAGACGTTTGAATATTTTGCCTATCTCCTAAACCATAATCTCCATATTCATTGACAAATTGGTTTAAATTTTCCGTATTAATTTCATACGAAAAATTTGCACCACCACTCCTTTGGCTACCACTTCGACCACCACTTTGACTCCTTCCCATTCCTCCTCTTGAGCTCATTTTTTTTTTGTATGATTACTAATTATAATATGGAGAAGAACTTTTTTTTTTTAGAATCTTAAGAATACTAATAATAATATTAAGGAGATTTTTTTTAACAAAAATATAACTCTATATAACACTTGAGAATTTGAGAACAATAAGAATTTTTAAGTAAGAGAGAAAGAAAGCTTGAATTTGTGTGGAAATTTGAGTGAAATGGAATTGGTATTTATAGGAAAAATAGAATGGATGATCATACACTTAAAAAACTAGCCGTTAGATACAAAAAACTAGCCGTTAGATACAAAAAACTAGCCGTTTTTTTTTTAAAATGGATGTTAGGCCGTGCGGGCCGTGCGAATTGTGCGGGCTGTGCGGGCCGTGCGGGTTGTGCGGGCCGTGCGGGTTGTGCCGGCCGTGCGGGTTGGGTGGGTCATGCGTGCGGGTTGGGTGGGTCATGCGTGCGGGTTAGGTGGGTTGGCTCGTGCGGGTTGGGTGGGTCATTCGTGCGGGTGGGCCGTGCGGGCTGGGTTGTGCCAGGTGGGTCGGGTTAGGTGGGTTCACGGGCTAGGTGTGTCGAATTAAATGAGTCAAAACGGGTTGTGCGATTTGGGTCGAATCAAACGGGTTAAACTGAGCTGGGTTGAAATGGGTTGTGTCGAAAATTTTGGACCCACGACACAACCCGGATTAAATCCGAGCTGTGCCGGGCTGTGCCGGATTGAAACCGGGTCGGACCCACGTGACCCACCAGCCGTGCGAGTTAGGGTGGGCTGGGTCCAACCCGGCCCACTGGCCACCTCTAGTTACCTGAAAGTGTGGTACTGTGTTCTGACATATTGCTGGAAATTTTAGATTTCAGAGCCCTTTAAGTTGAATCTAGAAACCTCCATAAACATTAGGTCGATGTCGCTTTTTCATGATCCAAAGAATTTTTATTAGGTTCTACTGTTCTAGTGTTTAACAAGCTCAAATAGCTTTTGGTTTATAACCTAAGAAAAGGAGGTTATAAAACAAACATAACAAAATGCTTATTGATTATTTTTTTATTTATTTTTTGGTTTGCTGTCAGATGACTTTGATGATTTCTGCTCTCGAGCTTCTAAGCTAGCCAATGAGTCAAATGGCGCTCCTCTATTTACTGTGACACATAGCCGTAACTCCCCTAAGACAGCCAGTCAGCATGATATGGGCGTTAGTGAAAACCGCGTAGATGATTCATATGATATGCTGCATTCAAATGACGGGCAAGAGGACGATTGGCAACTTCTCTGAAGATGGACGGTGCTGATAGTTTAAAATCTGATTGGAACTGAAACAATTGTGCTGGAGTTTGACAAGTTGACATGTTTGTATCGTTTGTCCATTGGTTGGTTGGCATCTCGTCCCACTTAAAACTTTAATTTGTTTTTTTTCAAGTAAAAGAATCTTAGAAATTTTTCAGTTCAGATAGTGAAATGTTAGTATCTGTAGAGGTATTTATCACATGTCATAATTGGTGTAAATTCGTTCATTTAATGGAAGGCGTGATATCTTCATTTGTTTTTTTTTGTAAATATGGCATTTGCAGATTGTATTCAACTGTTATGAGGTTGGTTGGGTTTTAAGGCATTCGGCTTCCTTTCCACTCCACCCATGTTCGACTCCTCATTCCCCCTTCCTCTTGTGCATTGCTATGATAGTTGTGCTTCATTGTGCTGTGTGTAATTTAATTTGTTTTAAGTTGTTGGTTTCTTCGGTTATTAGGGGCTTACATTACTCGAAGTTGTTGATTTATCTTCAGTAAATCTCATTGATCCAGAATTAGTACCTATCCTCTTTAGGTTTGTTTTTATTAACATTGTCCTAAAACTACATTAAGACCTTTGGCGTTTGCAAGCTTGGAGTTTAAGGTTGTATTTTTTTTCGCTTATCAGTATTTACAAGCCATGAATATAAGTTATCTAATCTAATTAGCGTTTATTATAGTGTTGAATTGAACTTGGTTAGTTCTGATTGATCTTGAACTTAATTTTCGCATCTTTTTGTCGTGTGGAAAATGAGAAATCATATTCAAAGTGTATATATGTACCACATAAAAGCATAATTAAACTTGACTGTTGGCTTTTAGCTTTTGGACTTGAAGTTTAATCCGAGTAGGCCTAATCGAATCCTTTTTTTAAGATACCAACATCTTTTCCTAGTGCTCAAATTGCTTGATTTTTTTATAAAGTTGAATCTAACTCACAATCAACTCTACTACGAACCTACTCTTGGCTCATCACTATTGTTAAGGGTAGCTTGTAATGATTCAAAAGGTTATAAAAGATTATGATGGACCCTTAAAATCCTAAATTTTACGAAAAATCAGTTGCATCAATAATTGTTGCAACCTAAATAAAAAGGTGAAAAACAATGAAGGGCTTCTAGATGAAAGGAACAAATCAGTAATATGTTCTGACGTTTTGTGTACAGATAATTCTAAGCTGTCATTCTTCACCTCCCAAAAAAATCAATCAAAAAATTAAAACAGAAAATTATTATTATTATTATTTTTTTTAAAAAGCCCATATATCTTCTAGAAGAAAAGGGTTCACGTGCCCCAGCAAGTGAAATGAATGTTTAATAGTTAGTGTGTGTGACAAAAAGTGGTCCATGTCTTTGTCACCTTTGATGATTTCTGGATGACTACTTCCGCAACTTCAGCCATACACATACTATTTTTTATACACACATAATTTGGATTTTGTACTTTCTGGATTCACCCAATTTTTTTTAATACAGAGTATTCTATCTGTTATTAAATACGTAGTATGAGTAGTGGAATTATTTCACGTAGAAAGGAATGTGAGTGTATGTAAGAGAAAATATAGTTGTGAGAAATCTTATTATAATCTTTTCAATATTTAATTTTAAGAAAATTGAGTTTAAATATTTTTAGAAAATGTATTTTATTTTTAAAAATATTTCTTGCTTTATTAAGATCACAAATTCTCCAAAAAGGCGTGTACGTTAATTTATTGTAAAATGGGTTAAAGTTATCTTATAAGTATTTAAATTTACCCTTTATACTACAAAAAATATTTTTTTTTAATAAATTTTATCTTATAAAAAAACTTATAATACATTAGATTTATCATATTAGCCTTTATAATATGTAATCATGAATTTATAAGAAATTACACATTAAAATAAATTCAAACCAACGACAAATTAAAAGTTACCAAAAAATTAGTTAAAGTTACCCTTAAACTGACCGTCTTACAAAAATTAACGTACACCCGTCTGACACAAGACTTATTGTATCAAGATTGGGTAGCCATTTCCATTCTTGAACCATCCGTAGTTGGAAGGAACTTTTTAAAGTCAAAATAGTTTATTTAAGATCATCATGAAAAAACAAATGTTGCAACTACATTACAATGAGAACTAATAAAGTGTTTTCTTAAAAAAAAAAAAAAAAAAAAAAAAAAAAAAAAAAAACAAAAAAACTAATAAAGTGTTGGCTCACTTAGTAAGGCTCTTACAGTGGCGGACCTGGGCTTGTGCCTGGTGGGTCAAGTGACTCACCAGGGCCCAAAAAAAATTTTAAGTTATTTAAAAAAAAAAAAAAAAAAAACTTTCTTTAGCTTCCCGAGTTACTGTCTTCCTCTGTTCCTCAAAGTTCAAACCCTAGCCTTCTTCTCTAGTTCTCTTCGCCTCTTCGCTTCATCTCCAGTTCTCCACCCAGCCACCGTTCTCTTCGCCTGCTCCGTCTCCGTGGAGTCGTGGACGGTGGACAATAACAGGAAAAGGGTAGTGAAGGGCTGAGATTTTTATTGCTCGAAAGAAAAAGGAAAGAAAAACAGGAGGCCTGATATTAGAAAAAAGATTAAAACCAAAACCGACTCCAAATACTTGCAGGTTATAAAATTGCAGTTTAGATTACTGAATTGCAAACCTCTTTCCTCTCAAATTTTCCAGAAAACCCTAATCGAAGAGAAGCAATAGAAATTGAGAAAAAACTTTAAAGAAAAATGGATGACTCTATCCCTGTTCGTCTTTTTTGTTCTATTCCTCCTCTAACTGAGTTTCGGGATGCAGATCCATGGGATAACACTAACCTCGATAAGTTTACGGACGATCTTCTAGCGAAGTGGGACGAGTAAGATTATAATTTTCCAGATTTTATCAAACTTAAGCTTTTCTTTGTCTCTGCTATTATTTAGTTTTCACAATTATGATTATTATTATTTTAAATCTATATTGTTTGAATTCTAAGTTTTTGTTTTAGGGGTAATAATGATAATAATGATAATGCTGAAGTGCTGACTTGCTGAGTGCCTAAGTGATTATTTTAAATCAAATGTTGAATGATTGTTTAATTACTTATTTGGAGAATGATTTGTTTTTGAATGTTAGCATGGAAGATATCATAAATCGATATCAAAACATGAAAACTCGTCGAGAACTATTGTAATAAGTTTGCATTACTATTTAATTATCTTTTGTAGTATTATATGAACATTTGGTTGTATTTTGTACTGTTTGAATATTTAGATGTATTTTTTAGTACTATTATTTGGTTGTTTGGTAAAAAAATTTTTTTACATATTTGATTATCGATTGTGACTCACCAGTCGGAAATTCCTGGGTCCGCCACTGGGCTCTTACCTTAAATCCTAGAGCTTTGGGGTTCAAATCCTACCAAATAAAGATACTTGGGGTAGAGACTCTCTTACCCTCTCCTCTACTCTTAAATCCCAAATATCTGGGCCACAAATACTGGACCAAAAAAAAACCGTGCGGGTGAGGTTTGGTTAGGGTTGTCATTACCTCTTTTTTTTTTTAAAAAAAAAACACTATATTACAATGAGAAGAAAGTATGAATTCTCATAATTTGTAGTTTCACTCAAAATTTTTATATTTCCATGTTCTGAGGAGCATATGTTTTACTAAGGTATTAACTTTTAAAAATAGGCAAAATTGGTTAGATCAACATACACCAACTATAGGTCGGGTGTGATTCCCAACAACATGACCTTTAAGTGGAGTAATGTATAACAAATGAAATCCGGCGGTAAAAAATTCCATCAAAGTTACAAAATCGTCACAATTTTATTTTATTTTTAAGTTTGTAACTCTATTTTAAACCTTTATGTTTGTATTTAAAGAGACAGTTGGAAATATTAAGTGAATATTAACATTTATTATAACAGTTAACGCGTGATTTTGTCATACATTTATAAATTAATGTCAACTTACGAAAGATATAAATACTCTTATATTTTGTTAAGGGGTACACATATCATTACCTATAATATAAAGCTTAAAGAGTTTTTAAAATGACAATTTGTAACTACAATAGAATTTCCATTCCTTGAATTTCAATATATACAAAAATTTGCACCTGCCTCCTATAGGTTGCGTTGTCTATTGCTTACACTTAAAGGTTGTGATGTTGCGAGCAAATGTAAATAGTTTGTGCTATTTTAGCTAATTTTTGCCTTATATCAATTGTTGGAAAATTAATATATTTTCCATCATTTTTTTTCTAATTATTTCACAATGACTTTTTTGCTCCATTTACATGAGTTAGATTCACAATATTTCTTTACTAATACAGGATAAAGTTTACCATGTGAAATGTTATTGGATTGTTTGAGTGTATATTTGCAAAATACCAAATTTATATAAATTTTGCTTAAGCTTCATTAGAGATATAAAGGGCCAACTGCATTGACTAAAGTGAAAGTCAATATATAACAATATCTTCTTAAAGGAGAGAGTATGTATATTCTTAAAGGCAAAAGTGAAAATATTAGATTAAAACATGAATATAAAACATGATTGTTCAATGCATGCATCATATTGTCATACATTGTAAATTATTAGCAATCCAAAAAATAGAGTTCTGTATCACTACCCTACATTGTATGGGCATATGGCTATGATCATGCATTCATGCTGCATGAGAAAAAACACACACACAAAAAAAAAGAGATTCATGTCATAAAAATAAGATGATTACCATGCAAAATTTTACTTCGTTTTGGTCTTTTGGATTTAACATACTAAATTCTTATAATTTTTACTTAAGCATATACTCTGTAAGAGACTTTGATAGTCAAAAATTCAAGATAACACATTGATTAACGTAAAAGTTAATTTTTCGTTTCTTTAATTATGTAAAACAGAGGGGGTATATAGTTAGTTATTGTCAAAGTTAAAATGTCAAAGCTTAATCAATGTATCAAACATTAAAATATCAAGTTAAATCAATGTAGGTATCAAACATCAATTGACACATTATATGTTTCAAAAAAAAAAAAAAAAATTGACACATTATATTACCCTAAACGGCTAAACCAATTTTTTTTAAAAAATAAATATTAATTTATTTGCGTATATCATTACCCTACATAGTTGACTATCATGCATTCATGTTTAATGAAAACAATATTTTTATAAAAAAAATGAAATAAATAAATCCATGTGATAAAAATAAGATATTAACCGAAACATTAATATATAGGTTTACACACTTCCTTACACTTAAACATCTAAACAAACAACAAAACACTCTCAATGAAACAAACTTAAATTATCACATCAATGGAATGATTTGTGTAATTGTCGTACACTTGTACGCCTCTCTTTAAATAAACAATGCATTATGAAATCCCAATCTTTTTCTTCGATATCCACAGATAAACGTCATTCCCATTATTTACAAAGCTTGTTGAACATCCATGCAATGATTTATTAAGCTTTAACATTTTCTATGCTTTGTTTTATTCAAAACTATGTTATATTTTGATTTTTACATTATTTATATGCGAAGTATTAAATCTGACATATTATTAACTAATATTTAATAAATAAGTAACTATATTAGTCACAATGTGTATTTTGTTTTCAAAATATTAAATTTTTGTAATTTTATTGATAGGCAATTAGGTATAAAAATTCAAAACTATTTGCTTGCATATAAGTCCGGTGAAATTGTAAAATAATTAAAAGAGAGAGTATACTTGACTACAAGTACAAACGGAGTAATCTCTTTCTCTCTTTTCTTGCCTCGTTAAATTTTTGCTACGAGATTTCTTTTTATGTTTTTTATTGGGTGAAGTTAATGAGAGACAAAATTAATATGATCAAATGTAATAGATGTGGGACTCATTAAGTCATTGGTGAATTAATTCCAAGACGACTTGAAGTTGAAGAATTAATTTTAGTCCAAAATAAACCTTTTTTTTTTCCTTATATTTTATACTTGTATATATTTGTGGATATTGTAGTAGCAATTGTCAATTTAAAAGAGTCATTTGCAGCAAACAAACCACAATCACACCAACTAGAGAATGATATTCGTTTACTTTTTATGATAAGATTAGATAAGGAAACAATGAATTCACCATATCAAAGTTGTGACATGAAAACAAGGACTTCAAGTTGAATGAGTCCATACAAAGTCTCCACTATTCACAAGTCAAGCAACCCTAATAATCTTGCTAGCCCTTCCCCGATCAATTCTTGTTTGATTTTGTTAACTCTGTTTTCATTATCGTTGATTGTCAATTGTAGATGCCGTATGACTTTAATTAATGATATATAGTGTCCTTTAGGACTTCTTTCAAAAAAAAAAAAAAAAAAAGTTAATAAAGTACCTACGATTTTTTTTCTTTTACTTAAAAGTTAAATACCTTCTTTTTTCATAGTTATAATAGTTTCTTTTTTACCCTCATCTTCTTTCCCACTCATACTTCGTATATGATCTATTTTAGGACTAGGGAAAATACTCCATAGGGAATAAATAAATTGAATAGGCGTGTATGAAACTTTAAAAAAATTTCATATGATAATGTTTTCTTTTTTATAGTCTCATACATTCATATCAGGGTAAATTTTACACTCGAGTACTGTTACGTTAGTGATTTGATTAGGTTTTTAGAGAATTAAGTAAAGTGACACCTTCAAAAATAAAGTACATAACATCATTTATAAAGTTATCGTCTTTTGGGAGACTTATTAAGTTTAGGTTTTTGTGAATTGGACTAAACTATTTAATGAAATAAAAAATTTGGGAATATATATATATATATATATAAATATATATATATATATATATATATATATATATATATATATATATATATATATATATATATATATATAGAAATAGGATCATATGAGACCACCCCCCTTATGTGAGAACCCTATTATATGTGAAGACATATTACAACCGTTGGATCAATTTCATCCAACGGTCATAATACAACCCGGTAAAACAAAGCTCATTTATTTCAAATTCATTTCCTGCGTTTTTTCTCTCTCCTCCTTCTTCCTTTCGCTCAATTTTCTCTCTCCTCCTTCAATATTACGGTTTTCTACTCTGTTGCTCTTTGATTTTTCATCACAAGTTCTTCAATCTTCATCAATTCTTCGTTAATGTGAGTCTATTGTTTATACATTTGCTGTTTTTCAATTAATTTTATGTTACATTCATTGTTTATTTTCGTTTTGATTTTCGTTTAATTTGTTTTGATTATCGTTTTTTTGTTGATTATAGTTTTATTTTCGTTTTCTTGAGTAATTATAAAGTTAATTTTAGTTTTATTTGGCTGAATTTAGGTCTTACTAAGTGTCCTTGCTTTGATTTTGTTGCGATTTTTGCTTGATTTTCGTTTACCTTTTCGTTTAATTTGTTCTGATTTTAGCTCATTAATTTTAGGTTACTTTGTGTCGATTATCTTTTAGTTTGTTTTTTTTTTGTTGATTTTAGTTTTTTTCGTTTTTTTGAGTAATTATCAAGTTATTTTTAGTTTTATTTTGTCTGAATTTAGGTTTTTACAAGTCTTCTTGCTTTGGTTGTGTATTTGAGAAATTATGTTGTGGTTTTGTTGCGATTTTTGTTGCTCTATTGTTTTGTAGAAACTTTACAAGAGCTTCGTGCAAACATTAAGCAGTTGTTTGGAGGGAAAGGGGGGGGGGTGGGAAGTCAGACCGTGGAGACACTCAATTTTATGACTGCTATGATTGATGACACTCAATTAAACTAATCCTTTAATTGCTTTCGGATCGAAGCTTGTATGTATGTTAAATGTGCTTTGTTTTTAATGTCGGGGCTTGGATTTATGGGGCTATAGGCTATTAAAATCTACTCTAGCAACAGTGGATGTTGTATATAACTGTTTTTGTCAATGGCAGGACTATGTATGCTTAATGCTTTAGTTAGGGTCCTTAACTACTGCTACACTTGAAGTACAAAAGAAGGTCTTAAAGATCATAGAGAGCACTTCCTAAGCATGCCTTATCATAAATCTAAATTGATTAGAGTTTATAGATGGATATATACGAGTTGTTAGTATATCTCGAAAGAAAACAAAGTTTGGAATGACATTCTAGGAACATGTGTGTAAATTTATAAGATAATGGTTATTTATTCTTTTGGGATTTGATTCAAAATAGCTGAACTCTGAACCAGTTCCCCAAACTGCTAAATTTCCTTTTCTTTTGGTTTGGTTGCTGATTTTTCATCCTTGCCTGCTGTTGCTACATTTGTGTTTGAAGTACCACCGTTCTGTTCTTTGTGAAAAATTTCTGGACCAGAACGGTATTATGGAGAACTCAGTTTACGAAACTTGCTTATTGCTGCTACATTTGTGTTTGATGTACCACGTTCTTTTTGCATGAGCTCTTGACTTGAATAGTATGTAGAAGAACTGAGTTTGCAAAACCTGACCTGAACCTATTTGATGTTAGCGTTTGGCTTATAAGCTAGAACTATCGACAAACCAGCAGATAACTACGAATCAACCAAAATTTTTTTGGTCAATTCGTTTGACAGCTCAAGTAGCTTCAATTGTTTTTATATAATAGCTGAAATTATGGTTTTCGTAGTGCCAAAGCACTCTAGATCTCATTGGCAATATTTGTCTGATTTGGTAGCTGTTCTTTAGCTGTGTGTAAAATAAAATAGAGAGAATTATTTTATCAGGAGTAGAAGCGAAAGCAAGCTAGTCAGCCACCAACTACAGAGAACAATGACATCATTTCAACTATCCGTTGCGTGCATTATTATCTTTTGACCATTCCAAGCATAGTTCTTTTTTTGTTGATAGCCTCACATATTTTTTTCTTTAATAAATAAATATTTCACCACTAAAATTAATGATTGTATAAAATTATTGGTCAAAAGTCGTCTTAATTTCTGTTAAATTATTACTAGTATATCTTTATATCCCATTTCATATAATAACAATAAATAATACACCAAGGTATATAGAAGTATTATTATTATTATGATTATCATAAAGTTGATTGACAAAGTCGTGTTGGATAATACTCGTACTACAACAAGTAAAACTCAGTTTTCAGTGAGTTAGGTTTTTCTTTTTGAAGTATGTGGTACCCTGGAATAGCTTAAAGGAGCAAATCGGCAATGACTCAGTCATATGGCCTTATATCCTTCGTTCTGCTAAACTGTGTGTTTGAGTCACTAGTGACCATGGCATAAGCCTCTGCATCAAAACAGAAAAAAACACCAAAAACAGAAAACCAATAAGGAAACAAACAGAAACTAGCTTGCATTCCTAAGTTGAAACAACCATCTGACTTGGGCTCTTGTCCATCTTCTGTTTATTAGTTGCTGGCTTCTGTTTATAGATGCAACATTGTAGATTAAGTTACCTTACATTTTTTTTAGTTTTTTTGTAACAGTGCTATGGATTCTTCAGTTGCTACTGATATTAACAATGCTAAAGATTATACAGATGTACATTTGGAAAGGATAATGTACGTGTTTTGTTATTTCCTTATTTTATGTTGTCTTATTAAATGCTTGTTGATTTAATGAATTATTAAAGAAATGCTTGCTAATTTGACATATGAGCAAATAACTATATGCTTATTTTCTAAATGAGCAAAAAACTGTTTGCTCATTTCCCAAATGAGCAAAAAACTGATTGCTCATTTCCCAAATGAGCAACTAACTATTTGCTCATTTCATAAATGAACATCTATGTGTTTGCTCATTTCACAAATGAACATCTATGTTTTTGCTCATTTGTGTAAAATTAGCAACTAAATATTTGCTCATTTGACAAATGAGCAACTAACTATTTGCTCATTTGTTAAATTAGCAACTAAGTATTTGCTCATTTGACAAATGAGAAACTATCTATTTTGCTTATTTTAGAAATAAGTAACAAATTATTTGCTCATTTGACAAATGAGCAAACTAATTCACAAATGAGCAAACTAATGTTTGCTCATTTCACAAATGAGCAACTAACTATTTGTTCATTTGAGAAATGAGCATCTATGTTTTTCCTTATTCGTTAAATCTATGTGATATTTGACTTTTTTTTTATGACATTGTATCAGCAGGAATTCTATTGAAAAGGAGTCTGGTGCGAATGCCGGTTCATCAGGGGCGGCTACTGTCGATGCCGGTTCATCAGGGGCTGCTGACGAGGCTAGTTCACCAGGGGTTGCTGCCGAGGCTGGTTCATCAGGGGCTGGTGCCGAGGATGGTTCACCAGGGGTTGCTGCCGAGGCTGGTTCATCAGGGGCTGCTGCCGAGGCAGGTTCATCAGGGTCTGTTGCCGAGGCAGGTTCATCAGGGGCTCTAGTGGCAGAGGAGAAGATCAGTGAAAAGAAGAGAAAGAAAATCAAAGTAGTTGCTACAAAGGGTAAAGCAAAAAAGGTTGAAAAAAGAGTGAAAGAAAAGCATAATGTGAAGTTTGAGGATCCAGACAGTGAAGATGCTGTTGATGAAGTGCAGAAATCAAAATCTGTTGTTTATGGGACGTTGCGTAATAGGATGTCACCTTCATCTGTTGTTAATGTTTTTAAGGAGTTTTTTGAAGATCAGTTGACTGCCATTAGAGCTATAGGATTTGGGTCTTTGGAGTTTTTGAAAGTGTCCCAACTGCCTTTGCAATTGGGTTTTTGGTTAGTCAAGCACTTTGATGCTCATAGTTGTACGTTGAATATTCCTGATTCCGATCCTTTCAAAATTACGGAACAACATGTACATGATGTCCTAGGGCTGCCAGCTGGAGGCATGGAGATGGATGCTAATCTTTTTTCAAAGGATGATAAAGTTATTAACCAGTGGAAAAAAACAGTTCCCAAAGAACTCATTATCTGTGAACATTGGGGAACTTTCAATGTACTTGAAGAACCATAAATCAGCTGGGCCAATGTTCAAACGCAATTTCGTAGTTCTTTGTGTTTCCACTTTAATGTCAGGTAGTTTTTTCATTTTCATATTTCTTATTTTAATTTCATTTTGTTCATTTTAATTTCATTTTGCTCATTTTAGTTTCATTTTGCTCATTTTAGTTTTTGTTTGATCATATTTTTTTAATTTTGTTATTTTATGTTAGGAGGACAAAACAAGAATGTTAATCATGACGTTCTCAGATATTTGAGTAATGTTGCTAAAATCAAGGATTTAAATTGGTCGAAGTTTATCCTTGATTCTCTTGTGAAGGCGAAGATCAAATGGGATGAGCTTCCTACTCGCTACTTTCCAGGATCTTTATTATTTCTTATGGTATGTTTTTATGTGTTGCATTTTATTGTTTGAAAAATAGCAGGATCACCTGCAACCCCCTTCCTCCCTTAAACAAGAACACACACACACACTTACACACACACATACACATACACATAAATACACATATACAAGCACACAGACACACATATATGCACACACACACTGACACTGACACACACACACAGACACACACAGAGATACACACACACACACAGACAGATGCACATACATACATGCACTCACAACCTATAATAGAATCTGAAATCAGAATTGAAATGTGTGGGTAGGTTTCAGTAAGGGCTGGTTCTGGTATTTTCTAAGTTTTATTTTTTTATTTTTTATGCATTAACTGTTATTTATTTGTTTAATTTTAATGTACTAATCTTTTCTATCTTACTTGTTTGCAGCTTTTATATGTTGATCATTTTGTCATTGAGGAAGTTAGAGCGAAAAGAGAAACTCTTGTTCTCAAAGGCTGGACAACGAATATGTTGTCTAGCCGTGAGAAATTGGAAATTTTTAAGGGGAGGCTTGGAATTTTCGATAAAAATCTGAAGGTTATTGGTCCTTCTGGCAGCAAACAACCAAAAATGGTATTTCACTTTCAATCAATACTTAGCTTTTTTGCCTTTTAGAATTAAATTGAATTGGACCAAATCTTGTTAGATTTCATTGCAAACGATCCCAACTTATTCTGACATTTTTTTTTTTTTTTTTTTTGCATTCAGGAAACATCTGTTCCAACTGTTCCACAAACTAATGAAGATGTTGAAGTAGATCCAAAGAAGGTATTTATATGATTTTTAATGTAGATCTAATATTAATTTATTTTGTTGTTTAATGACATCCATTCTAACTCAATGTTCAGAATTCTATTCTGTGAAGTTTGGTTGGCAAAATTGGGTTGTGGAGTATCAGCAACAGTTGAATAATGATGCAATGTGGCACTCTATTATGGCGCATCAATGGAGTAGAGAAATCAGCAAAAAAATATTTGCTCATTTGTCAAATGAGCATTTAATTTTTTGCTCATTTGTCAAATGAGCAAAAACCTTAGTGCTCATTTGACAAATGAGCAAAAAATTAATTGCTCATTTGACAAATGAGCAAATATTTTACCATTGATTTTTTATTTATGTTTTTTTTATTTAGTCTTTTGTTTTATATTTATCTTATTTATTTATGTTGTTTTTTCTAGAAATGCTTAATGGATCTTGCAGCGTCTTCGACTAAGTTGGTGTTGGCATACATGGACTTTCATGAAAAACATGAACTAGTTGTGAAGCATTTTCCTCACAATGAGAAAATACGAAAGCTGAAGGAAGATGCAATGGGTATTTGTGACGAGCAAAGATTGAGTTCTCAAGCTATGCCAGAAAATCATAGCTTTTCTTTTAGCCAAGACGATGAGTATTGACAAGATCCAGCCGTCATTGAAGCTTGGGATAGATTTTCCAAGATTTCTGCTAATGAGAAGAATGTTAAATCCTCAGTCTTTGCTAGGGCTGGTTGTCCAACCGTAACAGGAGCCATTGATGTTACAAAGATTGCGGCTGAAAGTGTTCAGATAGCAAATAGTCTTTCTGAAAATGAAGGTCCTGCTATTGTAGTTGAAACTGAAAAAGTTGTAGGAGGTTCAAGTATTCGATCTGGTTTGAGATCTTCAGTTAAAAAAGGATTTGGAACTCCTACTTTCAGTTTAGGATTTGATGATCCGGAGAACTCCCCAACTATTGTACAACCTTTAGTAGCTGTTGATGCTGATGTTCCTGTACGACCTTCAGTTGCTGCCGATGCTGCCGATGCTGATGTTCCTTGTGCTGTGTAGGTGGTGCTGATGTTCCTGTTTTGAAGAAGCGTAAAGTTCAACCATCAATGTTGCTTAGATCACCTTTTAAGGCACGGATTATCAAAATTTACACTACATTATCAGAAGTTCAGAAAACTGTCTTGGAAGCTCTGTTTATTGATGATAAAAATCGTTTGTAAGTATTTTTTTTATTATAGAATTTGCTATCTTGTATACTAATTCATATTTGCTTTAGTGATATTAACTTTTTTAATTCCTTTATGCAGTGATCTAGTCTTTTTATCCAAAGTTAATGGAGTGCATGATGTTGAAGTCATGAGATTTCAACTTGAAAAGCTGTATACTCACCTTAAAATTGATTCAGAAATCATTAATGCTTGGTGTAGTATTTTGAATTATAATGAGCAATTTAGAGACTCAAGTTCTCCTGCTCGTTTCTTTTTTAATGTTACTGCTACTGTAAGTTCATATTCTTTAATTTATTTTATTTTATTGAAGTATTTTACAGTATTCCAGTTGTATTAATTTTTTTTTAAACATGTAGGAGTGTCTTGTTCATTATGAGATTGATTCTGTTAGTTATCGGAATACTATGTTTCGTGAGGTTGCTCAAAAGTAATACAGCCAAAATGTTGTCCCAAAGAAGGACATTCAACTTTTCTTCTTCCTAGTTTACGAAATAGGTCATTATTTCTTGGTATGTTTCAACACTACCACAGAGCATGGTAATATTGAGGTTATTGATTATAGTGAAGATTCCGGATATCATACACAACTTTTAAAACATTTGGTACGGTTTAAAAGTTAATTTCTATTAACATTATGTTTGCTTATTTCAGTAAAATTATTAGATTTTAAAAATATCTATTATCTTTTCTCATTTGACATGTTTATTTTCAGAGAAGTGCATTTTGCAATTTTATGCAATATGAAGGAAATGTACAGAGCTCTGTGTTGTCAAGTGATATCAAGCGCATGGAGCATGTTACACTTGATTCTCCTTGGAAGTCTACAGATAATAATCATTTGCACTGTGGAATTGCATTGATGAGGATTATGGAAACATACATGGGTTTGTCAAAGTGGGCTTCAGGTTTGAAGAAGAATAATGTAAGTCTTTCATCTTATATGAATTGTCCTTAGATACTTGTTTGCTGGATTTTACAAGGCGTACAATTTTTACTTGTTAATTTCTAATACTCTCTGAGTTTATAAGAATATGGATATGTAAAGTGCAAATTTGAATGATAAAGAAAATTCATGATAATAAAAGGATATTAGTATGTTTATATGCACCACCAAAATATTTTTTTTATTATTCTTATATAGAAATTTAAATAAATCTTGCTCATTTGTCAAATGAGCAGCCAATAATTTGCTCATATTTCAAATGAGCAAGCAATTATTTGACTGAATTAATTTGAATTCTGTTTATTGTTTGAAAAATAGCAGGATCACCTGCAATCCCCTTCCTCCCTTAAACAAGAACACACACACACACTTACACACACATATACACATAAATACACATACACACGCACACAGATACACACACAGACACACACATAGATACACACACAGACACACACACATAGATACACACACAGACAGATGCACATATACACACACTGACACAGACACACACACACAGACACACACACAGAAACACATGCACATACTTAAACCGGCATCAACTAGTGCTCTAGGCTGTGGATTATGCATCCTTGATAAGTGAAATCTTCCAAGCTTCCATCTGTTTAAAAGGTAGCACACTAAGGCAGCTTCCTACTCTGGTTTTTTTTTTCTCTTGAAGTAGAGGCTTTGCACCAACATTTCAATAATTAAAAAAAACAGGACATAATTTCCACAACTTCTAATAGAATTCTGTTTATGTCCAATATAAGTAGCAGATGGTTCTGAGTGACCTTGCACACCAATCATCCACCTTCCCTTTTCCAACTCAGATGAAACTTGGACTATAAACTGTAGAGCAATTGAACCAAAATTCAGTGAACCCAGTGAACCTTTAGCAAGATTTCAAGCTACTTTTCTTTTTAAATAAATGTAAAGGAATCAGAATTTGGGTTTCTTATTACTTAATCTATTCTTCTTCTACGTGCTTCGTGCTTCACCCTGCTTTATACATTATATTTTTTAAAATTTTCTTGTTTTATTTTTTCTTTCCTATTTCTTACAGATGATAATCATGGAAAAACTTCGTGTGAAGTACACCTTGGCAATAATTTCAAGCGAAATAAACACAATTCAATCCGTTAAAGAAATTCCTCAAAAGAAGAAAAAGCAGAAGAAAGTTTCTCCTAAGACTGAACAAGAAAAAGTTGAAGAACAAAAGGGTGAAGAAGAAAAAGCTTAAGATGAAAAGGCTACTTGTTAGTGTTACCTCAATATTTTGCTTGGTGAAGTATTGATTAAGGTGTTGACATAGCTTTCTAATTTTAGGGAAGTAGAGAAACAATGATTTAATCAACTTGTAAATTGTTATTTTTTGAATGATGTAAAAATGGTGACTTTTGATTATGGTGACTTTTGTGTTTACCTGAAATACTTTGTCATTTATACCTACCGTTTTTTTGAACTATTTGTTGATTTACAAATGAGCAACGAACTATTTGAGCAAATAAACATTTGCTTATTTGCTTATTTGAGCAAATAAACAAAGAACAATTATTTGCTCAAGGGTAGAGCAAATTATTCTTTGCTCATTTGTCAAATGAGCAACTAACTATTTGCTCAATTGACAAATGAGCAAAGAATAATTAACTCATTTGAAAAATAAACAAAGAACAAATTACTCATTTGACAAATGAGCAAAGAATAATTTGCTCATTTAACAAATGAGCGAAGAAATGCTTGTTTATTTAATGAATGGTTAAAAATAAATTTTGCTTATTTGACAAATGAGCAACTAACTATTTGCTCATTTGCTAAATGAGCAAAAAATTGATTGTTCATTTTCCAAATGAGTAAATAATTGATTCTGTTAAGAAATATAAAATCAACAGAATATTAACAAAATTTAAAACACAAATTTCCAGGATCTTTATTATTTCTTATGGTATTTTTTTATGTGTTGCATTTTATTGTTTGAAAAATAGCAGGATCACCTGCAACCCCCTTCCTCCCTTAAACAAGAACACACACACACACTTACACACACATATACACATAAATACACATACACATGCACACAGACACACATATATGCATTCACACACACTGACACAGACACACACAAACAGATACACACATAGATACACACAGATACACACACACACATAGATACACACACAGACACACACACAGATAGATGCACATACACACACACTGACACAGACACACACACACAGACACACACACAGACACACACAGAAACAGATGCACATACTTACACACACTCACAACCTGTAATACAATCTGAAATCAGATTTTGTAATTAGATTCAGAATTAGATTTTGAAATTAATTTATGGAATCAGAATTATGATCAGCTACTGAATTGAAATGTTTAATATATAATGAGGAGATGTGCCAAAAATATTAAATCTTATATTTATGTAAAGTTATCATTACACTTTTTTTGGACTATTTCTAATATCATGGTGACTCAATTCACCCCAACCTCTACATAATCTCTTCTTTTTCTGGTTTTTTTCTACAGCCTTTTCTTTTTCTCCCTTCAGCCTTTTTGCACTTCTACCTCTTGTTTCAACATTTGGCACATCAATCCCAACCCCTTTCTCTTTTGAAGTCTCTTCATTTGATACATGAACTCCAGTCCCTTTATTCTTTGAAATTTTTGGAGGTTTGACAATTATTTCAGTTGGCACACTAGCTCCAATCAATAGCTCAATGTCTTGTGCTTTGTTGTTTGCACTTCCTGTTGTTTCATTATTTCTTGCAATCCTCTTAGCTTCCAAATCCTTTCTTATTCCTTGAAGATTTATCACAAGATCTTGAATATCTTCATCATTTCCTTCTGCCAAACTTACACAAGTGTGTATCTCTGACCATAAGTCATTTAACAATTTTTTCTTGTCAATTAAATTAGCACATTGCTCCAACAGGTTTCCACCCAAGTCAAAAATTGGTTTTTTTAGTGCCATAGTAGTCCATCTGTGTAGCATATACTGCTCAGGAATGGTTTCAAACCTTTTTGCTTTCCAAACCCAAATCATATGTCTGCATGGAATACCTTGTCTATAAAACAACTTGCAAGAACATGTGGTGTCATAGTTAGTTGGATTAAACACAACATCAAATGTTCTAATTCGATTTCCTTCACTTACTTTTGCAACTTCCAATCCATTTTCTTTCTTCAATTCATCAACACCATAAGAAAAACAAGCAATTTCAACCTCATATTGAAATTCATAAAAGACAGAGTTAGTATATAAATGCGAGGCATGCTTTTTTATCCCTAGTGGTGTTTTGCACTCAGGATATTTGTGCTTTGAATCATTATCATTCTGACCTTGAGTGTATCTCTGGGCATCAATTGCAGCTTCATATCTCAAGTAAAACTCAACAAGTGACACATGAGGACTGATAAAGGAGCAGAAAAAGTTGTTTTCGCTTTCGGATCTTGATGTTGTACGCATTATTCCTCCAAGGAACACATCTCTGAAATACGCCGGAATCCACTTGTTCCTTATCTTGTACATATAACCTAACCACTCATGTTCTTCCAAGTGGTATTCAACCATCACCTTGTTCCACCTTTCTTCAAACTCAACAGGTTCAATTTCAAGATGCCAAACACAAGCACATAATTTTTTTAGGAAACCAGTTTCTTCTTGCATGATTGATTTCTCCACCTTATCTGGTAACTTTTTCATTATGTGCCACATACAGAACCGATGTTCAGTCTTGTTAAACACACTTTTAACAGCAATTTTCATTGCTGGATCTTGATATGTAATCATACAATTCGGTTCATTTCCACCCATTGCTTTAAGAAATGATCTGAACAACCACTCAAATGACACTATATCTTCCTTCGCTATGAAACCAGCAGCAAAAGTAATGCAGCTCTTATGATGGTCAACCCCTGTAAATGGAGTAAACACCATGTTGTACCTGTTTACACATACAGATTAAATTTTAAATGATCAAATAATTACACACACACATACATACACACACATGTACTTAGACACAGACACACACACGCACACACACACACACATACACATACATACACGCACTCACAATCTGTAATAGAATCTGAAATCAGATTATGAAATCAGAATTGTCATCAGCTACTGAAATAATTCAATGCTCATTTGACAAATGAGCAAATAATTGATTGCTCATTTGTCAAATGAGCTTATAACTCAATGCTAATTTGTGAAATAAGCAAACAATTGCTTGCTTTTTTGTCAAATGAGCAAATAATTGAATGCTCATTTCTGAAATGAGCAAATAAGTCAATGCTCATTTGTGAAATAAGCAAACAGTTATACTAAGTTCATTTAAAACAAAGTTATTAATTTACGCTATAGTTATAACATAAAAATGAATTGTGATTTTTATGAATTACCTATTGGTTTGGTATGTGGTATCAAAGGATACCATATCACCAAAAAGAGCGTAACTCTTTTTACAAAGGGGGTCAGCCCATAATGCTCTACAAAGGCAATAATCTTCATCCATCTCAAAATCAAAGAAAAAAGCGCTCCACATTAGCTTTTTGTTGGTAAAGTTATCCACGAACATTTGAGCATCACTTCCTTGAATGTATGCTTTCAAATCTCTATGAAAATTTTTGAAATCTTGCTTAGATGCACCGATGTTATCATATCCTCCAACAATTTCCTTCATCATTCGAAAAGTTGCAACAGGACCAATATTCACCTATTTAAAGAACAAAACAATTTGTCAAATGAGCAAATAATTTAATGCTCATTTTTCAAATGAGCATACTACTTTTATTAGAACATACAGAGAATTCATGAAACATAAGAGACTTTGAAAGTCGTACCTTAGAATTATTCACAATTATTTTTTTGTGCAATATGTTCATTTTTCTTCCTTCTTTTTGGAAGAGATTGCAACTAGTTGTATAAAGTGCATGAGTATGTCCCTCATGAAATTGTGACACTATGAATTTGTTATCATCACAATGCTTTATGACAATATGTGCCTTGCACCCAACACGAGTAACGAGTCTCTTCCTTTTGATTGAAGTTTTTTCTTCATTGCTTTCCCCTTCGTTGTTATTTGAATCTTTTTCAACAGTAGGCTTTCTTTTCTCTTTGTATCCTTCTTTATTGCATAAGATATACTGTGATTTCAATTCTTTGCTTCTTCTTTGCCTTTTAGTTGTAGACTTTCTTGTGTTGAATCCAGCAGCAAATGCGTATCTTTTATAAAATTCAAGGCCCTCTTCAAGATTATTAAACTTCATCCCTATAGCTGGTTTCAACTCATTGGGGCATATTGGAAGCCATTCTTTTGTTCCTCCAGAAGTGAGCAAAGGCGCTACTTTAGGAGAAACTACTATTGTAGGAGTAGTTGCCACATTTGTGATGGTACTAGAATGACTGTCAAGTTCTTCGTTGTTGCTCATCATTTCTGACATTAAATATAATAGAAATAACAGGTTAGTAACAATTCCATAAAATAGTTTAAGGAAGCTCATTAAAAATCTCATATGTGTTGCTGAATCATGTTTTTAACCATACTAATTACTACTTACAGCAGAACTCTTACACTTACTCACACACACACACACACACACACAAAATAATTTCAGAATCTAAAATAGATCTAAAATCAGATTCAGAATCAGAATTGCAAACAGAAAGATGAGGGGGGAGGGGGGAATAGGTTTGTATAAGGACGTGTAAGAAGGGAGTGTGGTTGGTGTGCAGGAAACAGACCAAGAAGAAGGGGGGTGGGGCTTGTGTGCAGGCAAGAAAACCAAGGAACTCAATGCTTTGATAGCAGAAACTAGATGATTTGAAAAGGAGTAAAAGTTGATAATGCTACCCTTCACTATGATTTGCAAAACCTAGCATATATAGCATTCAGTATAGCATATTTTCCTACAAAAACCATACATTCTTAGACACACACACACACACACAGTAATTTCAGATTATCATAGCACACAGAAGTGCTCAATCTAAGAAGCACAACCACTTGCTCATTTGATAAATGAGCAATTAAATATTTACTCATTAGCTACAGCTACCTCTTTCATTTTCATTGCTTCTGCAACTTAAATATTTGGATTTGCTCAATTTAATTATGTTTGCTCATTATATGTTTTTTTATATTATTACAAATATTTAGGTTTGCTCATTTTATATTCATTTGCTCATTTTAAATTTGATTGCAAATTTTCAATTTCTATCAAATTAATCAAACCTAAATTGTTGATTTAATTCAAAAAATTTCAAAGAAGTAAATTCAATCAAATCCATAATTGATGCAATTAAACAAGCAATTCAATGAGAACAGAACAAACCACAAAAATCGAAAATTATCATGCAATTAACATGCAATTCATAACCTGGCGATTGATGCAATTAAATATGCAAATTAATAAGAACAGAACAAACCAAAAAATCAAAAATTATCATCCAATTAACATTCAATTCAATAACCTGGCGAATTTGATTTGTAGCAGCGATTGCAATCGCGATTAGTAATATAGCGCAAGGCGAGCAAGGTCGGTGTGAACTTGCTTATGATTACTTTGATGAAGCAATTGATGAAGCAATCTGAAGCAATGAGAAACAACATTACTGATTAGGCGCCATTGATGAAGCTCTTGGTGGAGAGAGAAGTTAGTTAGCTAGGTGGAGAGAGATGACAGTTAGGTGTGATTTTAGGAGTTTTATGTGATTAATCACATGCGTTGGATTGAATACAATTTGATGGCTGAGATTGGTTCTCACATATAGGATGTGTTCTCACATAGAAGGTGGTTCTCACTGGATCCCGACCCTATATATATATATATATCTTACTAAACTAATTAATAAAAATAAAAAACTAAATTACATCATATAGTTGTCCTAGCACCTAAACAACAAGAAATGGGCTAAACGGAGAACTTTGACCTTGTTTTTTTGGACTTATTTTTAGTTTAGTTAAGTTATAATTAGTTCAGCTTATCTCAAAAGAACAAGTGATCTTTTATTGTTTACTTTACCTACTTCTCCTCAAAAAATAAATATACCCCTTTCATTTTATTATAATTGCTCCTTCATTTAACGTTTAACGATCAAACAAGAAAAATAATTAAATTAGATAATGCATGTATAAGGATACTCTTACTAGTGATTCAACATGATGATAAATGGTATTTTATATATAACTCCCTTTAATTTGTTTCTTTTGATGTTCACAATTTGTGGAAATTTGTTAAGTTATTTATAGTGTTATTAAAAATAAATAAATAAATAAATAAATAAAAGAAAAAAAAAAGTCATGTAGGGTTATTGCTTGATTCATCTCAATAATAATGAGTGTTTCAAAATAGATGTCGCATTTAAAATGTGATGATGATTGATGAGAGTGAACAACATAATTAAATTACTACTCCGTGTTTCATACTTCATGGAATTATGGATCATTGATGATATCGTGGTCATATTCTCATATATAGTTGGTGTGGTTGATTGATGGTAATTAAGAATATATGCACATAGACACTTAATTAGTAGAAAAATTAATCAAAGGAAAAAAAAAACTCCAATAATTGCACCTCTTCATAAAATTGCTAGGTCTACTTCACACGTAGAAACCAACTAAGCAATTGATATTGTGGGTCATCATACACTTATACCTCATTGATTTAGAAATTATCGATTTAGAAATTCCTACAATCATCAACGAACTTTATTATTATTATTATTATTATTATTATTATTATTATTATTATTATTATTATTATTATATACTAAAAGAGAGACCAGGAGTAACACATGTCATCTCCTGATTAAATTTTTTCCCGCCTAAATATTTTTCTAATTTTTCTTTTGCCTAAATCTTCTTCAAAGATGTAATCATATAATACATTATAAAATAACTTTCCTATTTTTAGCTAACATATATATTAGGTATTTATAAATCATGATGAACTTAAATAAGGTCAATATATTAAAATAATATTATCAACTAAGATTTTTATATTTTCATTCTTTTCTTTCTCTGGTCATAATTTTATTTTATTTTTAATATAGTCAAATTTTTTTGCCAACAAATATGTGGATTACTGTGTACATTTATTTTCTTTTCTTTTGAATAAAATAGAGTACTATGTACTAAAGATAGAAGATGTATATTCCTACAATTAAAAGTCATAAACTCATAATAATTAGCAATGACGTATTGAAAATTGGTACAAAACTTTTCCATCAATTTATTTTGAACTTAAAAAATTAAGAATAATATACAACACAGGTTATTTTTTTTATGGAGTACTTTTTAAAATTATTCCTTTTCATTTAATATGCATATGTTTTTTTTTATTTATTTATTTATTTTCAACAAACCCAAAACATTCGATGAGAAGTAAATAAATGAGATTGTAACTATCTTTGACCTTATTAACAGTGCATTTCATTTTGTGAAAATAATGCAACATGTAATTTTAAGTAATCTATTAAAGATATTATAATTTACAGGTGATGCGATTTCCTCAAAAAAAAAAATTAAATAGATAAAAAAAATAAAAAATAAAAATTGCGATAAGGACATTTTTCCTATAACTTCAATAAAAATGAATAAAAATTATACTAAGTATATTTACAATATTTTATGTTTAATATTAAGGGATCTTAGACAAAATATCCACTAAGCAAATTGTAATATCAAAAATAAAAAAACTCTTTACTCACTAAAGATCAATCAATAACTATGTACTATCTCTGTTACATATTATGTGCAGTTTTTGAATATTTTATATCTCACAAATAATACCCAAAAGTTGCACATAATATGTAACGGATCTAGTGTTAAAAGACACACCAGCAATGACACATGTCATCTTGTAGTCACCTGATTGTATCTCCCCATATACCAAACCTAGTGATGAGTACCTTTCACGTTTTGATTGACGAGTTTGGATAAGAGTTAAAGGGACGCGCAAAGTTTCCTTAAGCCTTTACCATCTTTCTAACCTTACCCAAAGTGTTTTAATCCAAAAACATTCATTTCGTGTCCCAAAACATTCATTTCGTGTCCTTAAATCCAAAAACATTCATTTCGTGTCCCTAAAAACATTCATTTCGTGCCCAAATTATAAAAAACATCCAATCTGATTACTTTGGTCCGTTTCTCCAGTCCTTTTATTGTTTAAATGGATGGGGGTTTAAAAAAAGCTTTTCAACGATATATTATAAGCCCAAATCCGACTTAAAACGAATGAGATATGGCCAAAATACTAAACCGAGCCTAGGTCCACTTTTATTACGACCCAATGGTTATATGGAGTCTAAATATTTAATTTAGGCCCCATATATGATCTGTAACACCCCCAAAACTCACACTACGGAAATACAAATATAATACGTATAATTATATCGTAGAGATAGACTTAGGCGTATTACCGCCACGTGATTACGCAATGCTACTCAAACTACTAATTAAAACATTAACTTCGCAACAGAAATTCAAATTCATACTCACGGTGTCCCAACTTCTGACAGTAACGACAAGTTACCGGGTTCCCCTCACGGTTTCCCTGGGTGGTCTTTCTCATACTGCTTGCAGTGATACTTCCTCTTGGGTTTCTCACTCCCTTGGTTTCCATTCCCTCTAGCATTGGACGACTGGCCTCCATTCCCCTTCCCAAAGATCAATTTGTTGTCCCAGAATTCCCTTGGTGGTTGCCATTGGGCTTATGTCTCTTTTCACCCCCGTGAAAAGAGTCTTGGTTCTTCCTTTTCTCTCCAGAATGCTCCATCTCTCCCCCCTTGATCCTGTACAGGTGGGCTGCACGGCCATAGACTTCATCTAGGGTCTCAAAAGTAACTCCCCCTAGCTTCCCTTGAAGGGTTAGTGTTAGGCCTTGCTCAAATCTCTGAGCTTTGATGGTTTTAGTGGGAACTACTTCCAGAGCAAACCTCATCAACTCAATAAACTTGTTGTAGTACTCATTGAAAGACATGTTCCCCATCCTTAGGTTGGTAAACTCCACACACTTCTGCTTTCTCAGGTAAGAAGGGTAAAACTTCTCCCTTAAGGCTTCCTTGAACTCATCCCACCCAAAGTTTGGTTTCTTCAACAACTCATCCTTTCTTTGGGCCCACCATAAGTTAGTTTCCTCCCTCAGATAATAAACACCATTATTCACTCTCAGCTCACTTGGGCAATTGATAGCATCAAACAAACTTGTCAAACTCCCTAATCCAATTTTCTCTCTTTCCCCAAGTAAACAGGTGGTTTGGCTGCAGCAACTCTCTTAAAAACTTCGCTATAAGAGTCAAGTCAGAATTACGGTTTCCTTGGTTCACCACTTTCGTGATGTTTTCAGTGATATGGGTTAACTTTCTAAGGACCTTTCCTACTTTGGAACTAGTGCGCCTACTTCCCATTTGGTTTCTCATCCTTGCAGACATACTTCTTGGGTATAATTACCATACTTTGAAAATTAAAACAAGTTCTACTTATATAAGTATCTAATTCACAAAATAACATAAGAAAAATTCAATAAAAATAACTTCATTTCATTAATAATCAAATCGAAAGTATAACTTTGCCATCTAAGGCAATTATTGAAAGCAATAAACATAGCATAGCTCAATCATTCAAGCAACACTCTCAAAATAGTCATCCTCATTGGGATCATAGTCAGGATCATCTTGCTTAGCCATTCTCATATCACTTGGGTCAGTCGTGAAAGTTGGGTTATATCCGCTGTAACTTGAAGTATAACCTGAACTTGAATTTGGGCTGTAATTTGGGCTTTTGTGTGGACTAGCACAACCACAAGTTGGCTTTGAAGAAACATTGGGATTTTGTTGAACTTTTCGTGAAGATGGATGGTATTTTAGACTTGGTGGCTTTGGATCAATTTCTCGGTTAAGATTTCTGGCCTTTTTTGCAATATGAAAATGGAATTTTAGACTTGGACGCCTTGGAGGTTCATAGCTTGGAGTAGATGAAGGAGAAGGGTAGTTCTTGCTCCTCCTAAGAGTTGGTATGGAGTCATCAGTGGAGGACTCAAATTCACGACGATGCTTTCTGTATGCAAAAGGTAGTTGAGCATTTAATTAGTACATTTGGTCAACTTCTCTCAAGGTGGCATTCTTCGAAAGTTTGGGAAATCTCACAATTCTCCTCCTAGACTCATAGTCACGTTCAACTTCAACATAGTGCAAGTCTCTTTTGAAGCTAGACATGGTTGCTAACCACTTCCCTTCATGATGGTGTTTTTCATTTCACATTCCATTATCCTTGATTACAACCTTATACTTGTCAAAGAGAGGTTCATATTTGAGAACTCTAGGCAACTGGGCTAAGGCCAAAAAAATCATCCAAGGTGGTCGGGTCAACACTTCAAACTCAAACTGTTCATAGAGGCCAGGGTTAAGGCCAAAGTAACTATGCCAGTCACAAACTCACTAACAATGACTCCATCATCTTTCCAATAATGCAAGTTAAAGTATTTATTTCTCATTTCATCAATCTTTTCCATCTGTTTCACATACACATGCAAAACAATCAATTCAATGCCAATTCACATAAGCAATTCAATTCAAAAATCCATTTGTATAAGCAATTCATAACTCAACCAACCAAGTATAACTCAAGATCACCCAACTATGGGCAATACCTCAAAAATTCGGACCTCTTGACCATAGAATAAGGTGTTTTAACACCAAATTTAATGCACACATAATCACACAAACTCAAGCTTCATATTGTTTCAATTCTTTATGTTTTCGAAAATAATAATAATGTACTTGAATCATGATATTAGACGGTCGAGCACGCGTCTCCTGGGTAAGTTACCTACAGCGTCGAGGAGAGCCTTGCCTAGACAGAGAGTCGTACTCGAGAATCCTTTTCTCAATCATCTTTCCAAATAAGAAAATAGTTTTTATTTTAAAAATAATGCTTTTGACTTTCACAAACAAATGCGAAACTTTATCCTATATGCCCTCTTAAGTCTACCCATAATTTTTATTTATTCCCATTTTAATCTAAATAACACCCCCAAATCTCCCTCTACGGAAATACTAGTATAATATGTATATTTATATCGTAAAGATAGACTTAGGCGTATTACCGCCGCGTGATTACGCAAGGCTACTCAAACTACTAATTAAAACTACAACTTCGCAGCGAAAACTCAAACTCTTTTTTTATTAATACTTAATAAAATAGTAACTATTGTCATGAGTACTCAAAAATGGAAACAAAGACAAACATTCCTAAACTAGGTGAAGCATATCCCGAAACTCCCAAATGCTCATTTATTGACTCCACCTGAAAATAGTTAACATTGCTTACCATTAAGGTAAACAGGGCAAACCAAAACAAATAAGAAATAGGGATTAGAAAAATATGCTAAGTACGATGAGTGCAAGATAAGTAAATACAATTTATTAGCAAACATGCTTTTAAAACCTATTCCAATAATTAATTCAATAATTCCAAACTCATAATTCAAAACCAATTCTCAAGATTGTCAAAATAATTCCAATAACTCAATAATTCAACAATAGTGATTTTTAAAAGGAAAAATTCATGGGAATAATCCCACCTTTCACCCGTTCGTTTTTAATAATCCCACCTTTCAATTATTTTTCAATAATCCCACCTTTAGGTAACTTTTATTTTTATTGGTCCTTACAGGTTACCTCACCTGTTTTAGCCGGTTTTAGGCCTACGTGGCTTCTAACGGTTACTTTTTTTTTTTAATTTTTTTTTTGTTTGTTTAAAAGTGCCACGTCCCTTAGTTGATTTCTCTTCTTCTTCTTTCTCTGTTTCCTCTCTTCCTTAAAACACCATTGTTGGTCGCAAATTCCCCTATCAAATTCATCTCTTCTCAGTGAAATTTGGTTGCAATGGCTAGTCGTAGGCACGTTGGTTCAAGTGGATCATCTTTGTCAAGGTCGTTTGGTTGGGGTTTGCCAAAATTGAAGTGTAAATGCGGTGTTGAAGCCGTAATTCGGAGGGTGAGGAATGTCGATAATGTGGGTATGAAGTTCTACGGATGCCCTAACTGGCCTGTAAGTGTGGTTGGAAGTGACAAATTTTTTGTTTTTGGAATTGAACTTGTAAGATTATTCAATTGGAAAAACCAAATTAGGGCTTTCAAATTAATTTGATTTTGGGATTTTTTTTACAGGAGGGTGATTGTGGGTTCTTTCAGTGGGTTAATGCTAACAATATGGACCTTGAAGATCTAAGATTCCAGGTTTTTGAAAAAGATACACAAGTTGCTGAAAAGGAGATTGAAATTGATTTCATGAAGGAGCAGTTGAAAAAAATTGAGAAGAATTTGGATATTAAGAAGGATGAGTTGAATGATACAAAAATGGAGCTTTCCCACACTAGAATTGAAATAATGAAGGCGGCAAGGAATGTAAAAAACTTTTCCATTGCTCTGTTTGTGTCATGGATTTTCTTTGCTTTTCTGTTAGTGTATTTGAAGCCATGACAGTGATATTGAGTGGAGATGATTGTAGGTTAGACTCATTAGCTTGTTTAGGTTTGGACATGATTGTATTTTTTGCATTTGTGACATGTAATATGGCTTTGAAAAAACCTTTTTAGTAGCAAGGCATGTTACTGTAACAGTGAATTAATGGAAGTTATTGTTACATTGATTTGCTTTCAACTTGAATTATGTTGGTGAAGTTGTTATGTTGAACAAATTAAGTTGGTGAAGTTGTTATGTTGAACAAATTAAGTTGGTGAGGTTGTTGTGTTGAACAAAATAGCTTGCAAATGGTCTGGCCAACAAACACAAAATGAACACTGCCATGGTTCATTGCATTATATTGTAATATGCCCAAAAACAATAAAAACTGTTGTCAAAAGATTACATAAATAAAGTACCAACACTTAATTACTTAATTAAACCAAAATGAGTTATTGTTCATGCCACTACTTAGATGACTACTGAGTTGGTTGATGCAAGGTCGAACGTTGACTTTCTTGACTGCACTGGAACCAGTCCATAGCTGTTCTTGCTGATCTTGTTCTCCTGTCATTGCCTTGGGTCTGCAAACAGATACAATAGCATATTAGCATTAGTATGACATTAGTTGCAAGCAAAATGAGACACACTAATAGTGCCAACATAAAGGCACTCACATTAGTGATTGCAGATCCATCTAATGCAATGAAGACACCTACACCTGCTGGGACCTGGTTCCTTCCTCTGCCCCCTGGTTCCACCCCTGGCCCTTCCTACTCCCCTGTTCCCACTTGAAGCACCTCTGCTAGAGCCAGCAACATGTGAACCCCTTCCTCTTCCTGTCCCAGCATTGGCAGCAGCACCTCCTCTACCCCTTCCACCCCTTGATCCCCTACCCATCAAAATTGTTCTTCCCCCTCTACAAAGTATGGTAGGTTGAGCAGTTAGGGAGTGGTGGGTTGTATCAACCTGAGTGGATTGCACAGATGCAGCTGTAGGTTGAGGTGTAGCTGCTGTTGCAGTTTGTGATGCTGCTGTGTGTTCAGCATCCTTGCGAGGCCTCCCTCTTGCCCTCTTTGGAGCAGGTTCAGCTGGCTGCACATTGTCCTTGTTAGGGCACTTCCTTTTGTTATGCCCTTTCAGTTGGCAGAGAGAACAAGTCATTTCAATCCCTGTTCTTGTCAAAGAACCATATTTTTTGGGGTTCTCATGTGGATCTTTAATTCGATTTTTTCTTGGCCTCCCTGGACCAATTTTGATTGGTGGAGGATCAATAGGCATGGACACTACTGGCCAGTGCCTTTCACCTTGAATTGGTGGAATACAACTCATCAACATCCACAAAACAAATGCATTAGTTGACAACTACAGTGGCAGACAAAAATGAATGCATTAATGGAATTGCTTTGTTACCTGCATACACTGACAAATAAGTGTCCCTATGGTAGCATTGATCCACAAACATCTCTGGTTCCTTGCCCATGAAAAAAATAGAAGCCACTGCATGGAAACATGGGATGCCCAGCATGTCCCATTTCCTACAAGTACAGCTTCTGCTTTCCAAGTCCACCACCAGCTGATCTAAGTTGTAGTTCACATTGAAAAGGGTTTCAGATGAAGGAGTAACTTCACACTCTGCAGCCTTTGCCTTCTCAACTTCCAACTTGGCTTGTATTCTTGGACATAGCAATGTGGTGACTTTCATCATACCTTGCCTTTTCACCACCAATCTCTGCATCAAAGTAGCTCTTATCTCTTCTAACATGTAGAGAAAATGTTTTGTCCTTGCTTGAATGATGTACCCATTGAATGTTTCTGCTATGTTTGAAGTAATTGCATCAGTCTTCACTCCTGGATTCAGAAAAGCTCTGCAGAATAATTCAGGCCTATGTAATTTGAAGTCATTGGCTGCATCCACATTCAACTCTGCAAGCTCCTACAGTCCTTCATTGTAATCAGCCATATTGTATGCCTTAGCAATTCTCCAGAACAACAATTTCAGCTCATCTCCTTTATACTTCTTGTGCCAGTGAGCAAATATGTGTCTAGCACAGTGTCTATGCTCTGCCTTACGCAGAACAGTTGAGACACTATGCACTATACTCTGCTAAATTACAATACAAACAATACAGAATTCAAATTAGCACAGAATAGGCAAAGAATTCAAATCAGAATACAAACAATACAGAATATACAATTAGCTCACAGTTGAGAAATAAGTTAGGACTCATACCTGATGCTCATCAGAAATGATAGAGACCCCTTCTCCTTCTTCCAGATTTAGACAAGCAGCAACTTTCATGAAGAACCACTCCCAGCTGGAGTTGTTTTCACCTTCAACAACAGCCCAGCACACTGGGAACATCTGGTCATTACTGTCCCTGCCAACAGCAGCCAACAGTTGACCCCCCAAAAAGGTCTTGAGAAAACAAGCATCTACTGCCAACACCTTCCTACAACCTTGAATCCACCCATTTCTCAAAGCTTCAAAACAGATGAACAACCTCTGGAACATTGGTGGGAAAGCCTGCTTTTCAATGTCAGTAACAAGCTCCAATTCTGTTCCAAGACTGCATTCCTCTATTGCCTTCAAATACCCACCTAGATTGTTGTAGTGGTCATGCATTGACCCATGTAACAGTCTATGGGCATTGTACTTGACTCTATAGGCAAAGTATCTAGTCACCAACATCCTGTATGCCTTCCTTATACACTCAATAATGTCTTTTGCTGGCCAATGTGGCCTAGTTTTGAACACATCTAAATATTTCTTTGCAACAAAACTTGATTTGAGTTGCCTGTTCCTCTTCATATTTCTCTGACAAGTGTGAAGTCCTTTCAATGTCTTCACAACTATTGTAGCCCTCCTACTATCCCAGGAAGCATACACATAGAATGGACAGCTTCCTCTGCATTTCACACCTAACCTCTGTGATCTCTGTTTGTTACTCACAACAATACTCACATCTCTACCCTGCAACACACCATACTTAGCTACAGCATCCTTGAAATCATCTCTGTTTGCAAATTTCTGCCCAACTTTCCACTCAAAACTTGAAAAATCTGTTTGTTTAGACACCAACAAACCTAGTCTTTTTCTCCTTCCAGGAATCAAATCTTCCTCACCACTATCAGGTGGGGTATGTATTTCATCATCACTCTCTTCATAATCACTCTGGGGGCTAGAAGGTTCACCACCTAATTCTTCCCCAACATCTGTCCTGTTCACAGCCTCCTGCTGTAGTTTAATTCCCTGAGCTGCTTCAATTTGTATTTTTCTTGCAATATCAACAAGCTGGGCAGTTGTATCCCTTACCCTTTGCCTAGCTATGTTGTACTCTTCTCCCCACTATCAGACTGATATTGAAGCTCCTCATTCAAGATCTCTTCACTCTCCTTCTCATACTCATCCTCTGCCTCCTCAGAAGCATAATCATCTTCAACTAAATCATCACCACCATCCAACTCTGCATGTAACAGATCCTCTTCCCCACTGTCATCTGAGTCTTCCCCACTGTCATCTGTACCCACTTCTCCAAAGAAAGGCTTGCTACTAACTCCTTTTCCTTTGCCAACCAGTGGGTTATAACTAGGGTCAACTGTGTCACTATCACTGCTATATTCTGGTATCAAATCATTAATGGGGATAGGGCTTTCAGGCCTTGAATCTTCCCACTCAAAAGTGTTTACAGGGTCATTTTCTAGAGTTTGGTGAGCTATTTCATGTGTTGTACTAGGGTTTATAACATATTTTATTCTACATGTACTTTTATTAGATGGGGAAATGGTTGGTGGAATGGTAATAAGTTCAGTGGGAGCATCTTCTTTTGGCTTTAGTGAGCTGTCAAGGTCTTTTTGGGAAGTTTCAACAAGGGCTTTTTGGGAAGGTTCAACAAGAGTCAATGCATTACTTTTCTTCCTTGGACTACATCTAACAGGTGGTCCCCTCTTTATTGGAAGTTTTTTGGCTCTCATAGATTTGGGTTGGGTCTTCTGTTTTGAGGAGGCAGGTTGTAGTTCTTTGGGAAAGAGAATTGGGTCATTTTCACAGTGCATAGCATAAACCTCCACCCCCCATGCTTCTCTGCTACCCTTATCATTTCCCTCATACTGTCATCATCTGTGACCCTCCTCAACCTATCCTCCATACTCAGTCCAGGAACTAAGTATAAAAACCCCTGAATTCTACCATCATATCTAGCACACTTCATAACCAACTCCACAAGATAAAAAGAGCATAGTTCATCAGGGTCTACATCAAAGGTTCTGTTTTGCCCATTCATATAACACAACACTCCATTGACACGCTGCTGAAACACCCCTCCATGCCACATTTTTAAGGTTATTTTACTACAACCCATACCTAAGTTCACAACAACTATAACACAATTAACATTCAACAAAAATCAACAGCACAACACAACAAAAACCTAGCATTTAGGTTTCGAAATCAAATCACATAAACCGACAAAAAAATCACAACATAACACAAATAAACAACAATTCGCAACAATAAGTATCAAATACATTGCAATCATATAGAAAAATCATCAATTTCGGGTTAAGGTTCGACATTTACTTCGAAATTTAGCAAATTTTCAGGCGAAAATCAGGGTTCGAAAAACTTACCTAAAATGGGGTTCTTCGCTTTTCAATTTTTACCAACGATGGAAGCTTCACAATTTATGGCACCGTACTCAAGTTGTTGAAGCTTCAATTATGGCTGATGAGCTTTTTTACAGAGCCTCTGTTCAAGTGAGTAATGAGGGAGGGAGGAACTCTACAGACATTAACGAGGGTAGTTGGAAGGAGAGAGAGATGACATGGCATGTTTTAGGGGGGAAATCAGACTACCCAAGTACACGTCACAATTGCTTACCTTGTTAGCCGGTTTCAAGTTAGATGGGTCCAATAAAAATAAAAGTTACCTAAAGGTGGGATTATTGAAAAATAATTGAAACGTGGGATTATTAAAAACGAACGGGTGAAAGGTGGGATTATTCCCATGAATTTTTCCT